AATTGACGTATTGCCCTGAAGACTGAATCTCACATATCTCAATATCAAAATTATAAAAATTTAATATATATATATATATATATATATATATATATATATATTAATAATAAAGGGAACTGAGGGTTAAATTTATATTGCAAGTTAACCTGATGTCTACCCTTATGGAAAAGTTTTTTTCTACACTGAGAAAAGTTCTTTTATATATGCTAGACAAACGTTACCGATAAAATTATTGTCATTTGAATTTTTAACTGGGGAAAAAGAAGAATTCGCACTGTTGAGAATTTTGAGTCTATTGGTGGTGACGGAGTTAATGAGGTGCGGTGGATATGAGTTGTTGATTAAAGTCGTGCGGATGAGGGATAAGTTAGAAAGCCAAAATTGTTTGTCTGAGAGTAGAATGCCATGGTCGACTAAATTAATAATAGTGCCCATCTTCATGCTAGATTGGTGGTAAGAATGATAGTAGAAATACCTATCCGACCAAGTAGGTTTTTGGAACCAATTAGTGATAATTCGATTGTCTGTGGTTTTTATAATTTTTACGTCTAAAAAGCTGATAGAATTGTCTTGTTCTTTTTCAAACGTAAAGGAAAGATTGCTCAATGAGTTGAAACTATGAAGTAAAAGATAACGTTGTATGACATGAGATTTCGTCCCATCTAGCAGTGATGGCATCTAAAATTAATTGTAGGGGGACGTTAGCGAATAAGGATCCTACGTCTAGACTACCCAATAAGGAATTATCAGGAATAACGGAATCGAGGAGATTGTTGACAAGTTCAAAGGAGTTTTTTGTAAAAAAACGAGACTTGACCGTGACCGTTGTTAAGTGTTGCTGTTCTGTTAATTTTTCTCTTATGTTTACAGTTTCTATACCAATCCACATATTTTATAATTACCTAGTTATATTAATTTTTATACTGTTTTTAGATCCACTGATGATGACATTAAATGGACTGTCGAAACGTTTGGAATTAAAGATTATTTTATAATTTTTTGCCTTTTCTTTGTTTGATGTATCTCAAATAAAAATTATTAATTAAAACTAATTTATAAAAAAGTGATATAGTATAAAAACATGGAGTGGATTACTACAATCACATGTAAGGTTTTATACCATATCACTTTCTTATAAATTAGTTTTAATTACTAATTTCTATCTGTGCTTTCAAACTACAGTTCACTGAAGATGACACAAAATAATGTATCGAAACGTATGGAAACAATAAAAATGTTTTAGAAGTCATACAAGTTTTTAATTGACGTATTGCCCTGAAGACTGAATCTCACATATCTCAATATCAAAATTATAAAAATTTAATATATATATATATATATATATATATATATATATATATATATATATATATATATATATATATATATATATATATATATATATATATTGTTAGCGAAATATATTGTGTGAACGTTTTAATGGATGTTTGAATATGGCGCGGATCATGACAGTCCCGTGCGGTTGGTAATGTTCATGTTGGTAAGACTTTAGCGTGTGTGTGCAGTGGGCAATAGTGACAGTACGAACGGAGTGAATGTATGCGAGTCGGAAACAAAGAGTGATATAGAGTGAACGTGTAGAACGGACTAGTGAGAATATAGAATAAAGGTTATGAAGAGTACTGCACCGTGTTGTTATTTTAATTTATAGATTCCTGACAAATAATTAATTATAGAGAATAGAGACAATAGTTTCAGAAGTGGGATTTTACTGGGATAATTACCGGTATAATTACCGATAATTACTGAGATAATTAGTGTGTGATTTTTAGTTAAAGTTGTTATTGGAATAGGTGATTCCAATAATTACAAGTGCGTGTATTATTAATCAGGTGGATTAATAATTACGAGGGTTGTGATAGTAAGCAGGTGTGCGACGCTATCAGACCAAGTGTGTGATTTTTAGTTAAGGTTGTTATTGGAATAGGCGATTCCAATAATTACAAGTGCGTATATTATTAATCAGGTGGATTAATAATTACGAGGGTTGTGATAGTAAGCAGGTGTGCGACGCTATCAGACCAAGTGTGGTGTTTTTCTTTGTGGTGTTTTGTGTTTGTTTCGGCGAAAAGTATAAAAGTTAGGTTAGCACGTGGCTGACTAAGGTGAACAGTATAGTAAAAATATGGCAAGCAAGGCGTGCTAGCGATATTATTTAGTTAAGGTGCAGTAAGGGTGTGGAGAAATGCAGGATTGTGGAGAAATTTAAAGATTAAAAATAAAATGGCTACAGGAGTTAATAAAGAAAGCATGGCGTCGGAAGCTCTGAGACTGCTTTCATTGACAGATCTTATAAATTTAATCAAATCTACAAATAGTGATAAAGTGGAGGATATAACTAGTAGTGAGTTGTTGGCAATGCTGCCAGAATTTGGAGGTTCGGCGGAACAATGTGTGAACTCATGGTTCAAGCGTATTGGAGCCGTACGCGATAAGTACGACGTGACTAAAAGGAAGATGACGGTACTAATGATTTCTAAATTGACAGGAGGTGCTAAGTCGTGGTTTTTTAGCAAGGCAGAGTACGCCAATTATACCTACGACGAAATTAAGAGGGCGATGACAGCTTTCTTTCAGAACAGCGAAGATCGCATGACGAGGATGAGAAAGTTCGAGGCCCGGAGATGGCGGAGGCAGGAACCCTTTAGCTCCTACTTCCAGGAGAAGACGGCGCTGGGCAACAGGGCGGATGTTACCGAAGGCGATATGTTGGCATACATGATCGATGAGTTTGACAACCCGCTACTTCAGGCCCAGGCAAAAATGAATCGTTTCCAGGATTTGGGTACGCTATTGAGCGTTATGAACGAGCTAACGCCAGCGGAACGGGCCGTTAGTTTGGTGCAGCCCGAAAGAATACAGTCAGCAGGGTTTCCTAGGATGGAATCGCAAGGCGTGTGTTATGCATGCGGAAAGCTAGGCCACGCGCAGAAAGATTGTTGGCGAAATAATAGTAGAGAGGAGCAATCGGTGCAGCCTGCGCAACAGGTGCCCGACAGTACGACGATGTTGCTCAATCATAAAGATTTAAATATTGACATAGGGAAAAAGGTGACTAGTGAGCGAAAAGAGAATGATAATAATATGTTGGTGATTGACATTAGTGACAAAAATATTGATAAGGAGGTTGAGATTGATGTAGGAACCATTTTAGAAGTGGAGTCGCAGCAAAGGATTGAAGAGAATTACGACTATGAGTTGGAACATCGGAGTGCAGCTAGGATACAACATGTCGATACACTCAGTCGATGTCATAAAATATTGGTGGAGAAAGAAAACTCATTTGAGCGAGTGTTGGCTCTAAAGCAAAACCCAGTCGAGGAGATAAAAGTCAAGAGGTGTGAGCAAGAGCAAATGGTGGATAATATAATTAGGATTGAACATGAGCAGTTGGGGCATGCTGGAATAGATCGTACAATAAATGGATCAAAGACGAGTTACTGGTTCAGTGGAGTGACAGCCAGAATGTTATCGCGAGAGTCGAAGTTTGTGAAGTTGTTTGCTTGCCAAAGTACATCAAGCAAGGAGGTAATTAAGCATATGAAGACATTGAGTGTAAACAAATTAAAGTTGAAAATGCAAAAGTATAGTTTTGTTTATAGACACACGGTCTATTTAAGGTGTTATGTTGGTAAGGATGGCATTAGACCTTGTGACAATAATGTTAGTGTAGTGATAAATTATCCAGTTCCAAAGACATTTAGACAGTTACGATTATTTTTAGGATTAGTCAGTTATTTTAGTAAGCGTAGAAAGAAACTTTAATAAATTTAGGTGAAGCGTTGGAGTGAGTGTTGATGACAAATCGTGAAAGTGAATAATGACAATTTGTGAAAGTGAATAATAACAGTTGATGAATAGTGCAGAATGACTATGAGTGCGTAAGGGCAATAAGTGATTAAAGACAGTAAATGTAAGGACAGTAATAAATAAATGAAATATTGTATTGTTGTAATGTGGTAAGGTAAAAGGTTGTAAAATAATGTATTATGATGTGAATTGGTATATTTCGCTAAGTAGATTTTGTTAGTCAATCGAGGGCGATTGTGGGGTCAGGTTTGGCCGAACTGTTAGCGAAATATATTGTGTGAATGTTTGAATCGATGTTTGAATATGGCGCGGATCATGACAGTCCCGTGCGGTTGGTAATGTTCATGTTGGTAAGACTTTAGTGTGTGTGTGCAGTTGGCAATAGTGACAGTACGAACGGAGTGAATGTATGCGAGTCGGAAGAGATGCGAGAGAGTGATATAGAGTTAACGTGTAGAACGGACTAGTGAGAATATAGAATAAAGGTTATGAAGAGTACTGCACCGTGTTGTTATTTTAATTTATAGATTCCTGACAAATAATTAATTATAGAGAATATAGACAATAATATATATATATATATATATATATATATATATATATTATATAATATATAATATATATATATATATATATATATATATATATATATATATATATATATATATATATATATATATATATATATATATATATATATATATATATATATATATTTATATATAGAACTTTAGAAGTGTAATCAAGTAATCAAAATATTTCGAAATATGAAAAAGAAATTATCAAGTTGTAGAAAATTGTTCAAGTATTGAAAAAATCTGACTTACATACGTTAATTGAATTTTGATAGATGTCAAAAACCAAAGAAGAACAACTTCTCTTATTTACGCACCCAGAATTTAAATAAATAAAAACAGATTCAGCAAACCTTCTCAGGTCAACATTTTTTTCAATATATAAAATAATTGGATTATTTAAATCAAAAGTGTGTTTAAAACTTCGCATACTTTCAGATAACATTGTTTTGTATTGATTTTTATTTTTAGAATTATAATTATGTTGAAGCATTCTCTTATATATCAAAAGGTCAAATAATTTATAGATCATAGGTAATAGGTTACAGGTAAGCATAAATTCTATATAATTTATATTCATGCTATTTCACATACTTGGCATCCGCTTGTTCATCCATTGATATTTTATTATGTACTTCATCGACAGTGCATGTGCTTTTGTTCTCCACGTATTGTTTTAAATTTTTCTTATCTTTCATATTACTGTTCATATCTGAAATATTTGAATTCAGTCTGATTTTTAGCTTTGCAGGACTAAGCTTAATTATTTGCTCAGATAAATGTGATCTATTTGCTTGATCAATTATTTCGAGAGAGTTGTCCAAGTTTACACTTGTAAAACAGATCTCTGATATATTCTTTGATTCGACTGGCAACACGGACCTCACATCAACTTCATCTTGCAATTCAAGTCCTGAAAATGTGAAAATACTAGATTATAAACATGCATTTTCATTATCAACGATTGATTTAAGCATAACATGAAAGATAAAACCAAGTCGAAAATGTAAAATTCTTAGCTTGAACTAATTTTGGTTACACGTGTATAGATAATAATAATCTTACCTAAACCCAAAATACCCTCAACAAAATGTGGTGGAAGTTGATACAGATCAACACTGTCCGCAGGATTAATAAGTGCAGAATTTCCAGACGGGGGATGCTGTCTTGGGTACTTCTGATGTAATTCATTATGCATTGATAGTCTATAAAGTAAAATATCCACTTACTTCCAAAATAAAACATTTATGAATATGCAGAAGCTTATTTACATTTAAATTTTTTTGTTCGACGTATATATATACAATTCTTTTGTAATGATGTATGCATTGATACACCTTCTAAACGGTTACACAGATTTTAATAAATCTTTATAGATTTTATCGAGATAAAATTTTCAAAACGTGTCTAATATTGTAATATTACCAAGTAATATTGTAGAAATAAAAAATTGCAAAGGCAAAAAATCATTGTTTGACATTGAAAACATTTTGACACATGAGAACTGTCATCTGCCAAAAATGTCGATTCACTTGAAATTTGAATTTAGTTTAAGCGAGCCTAGACAATATTAGTATAATAATTATTCATATTCCTGATTATAAATAAGAAAAATGTAATATCTACAATATAATTTCTGAAAACCAGCTGAAATGTGCCAGAAATTGAAACAATATAAGATACAATATATGTTTGGCAGTAGAAAATATATAATTTAGTTTAATAATACAATACAATAACACAATACGTCCAAAATTGCATATACATTAGTTTTTTAAACTTATGCATGTTGTGTTTTGCTAGACTTTAGTAAATTATTTAAATACAAAAGAATATTTCAAAAGAATATTAAAAAAATGATTTTGAATTTTGTTTCATGTGTCAAAAATTCATTTGTTTCATTATGATCTTAGATTGAACAGTGCCATGTAAACTAGATTTTAGAAATCAATTCACCTAAGATTTGAACTAAAGTAATAATGTTTATTAAATTATTAGTAAAAAAACATTAGGCTTTAGAATAACGCTAATTAGAAAGTGGTCCAACTAATCGCACTACCCGAAAACATCAATTGAAAAATCATTTTGTCTTTTTCAGCTAATAATAAACGATTGTTCTACAATTAATATTAAACATAATGTGGTCTGAGTCAATGTGAGTAGAATCACGTAAAAATTTTTTCGATATCTTTTATGGTTACGCGAAAAAGTGAGTTTGAAACAAGGGGCCACGAGAAGCATGTTATCAATGATATCTCGGCCATAAGACGAGGTACAAAGTTGAAAATTGGTATATCGGTTTTTATCAAATAGACCTATAAAATGATGTATAAATTATTTAAATACCAGGTTGAGGCCAAATCTGTATGGCAATGCGCCCATACCCTTTATAATGACTTTGTAACTATCATGCAAAAGTTTTTTTTTCATTTTACTTTATTTTAGCAATCAAAAATACAAAAATAATTTCTATGAGCTAAACTGTACATTTAAATTATTATATAAGATAATCCGGTGATATATCTTAGTTTGCACAAAATCCAATGGCCATATCTTTTTCAGTCTACTATTATCATGCGGTAGTAGGATGTCCGCAACTATTGGGTTTGGGTTTGTCTCTAATTTATTTCTATGGATTAAGGCGCGTTCTTGTATTGTTTGCCATACTGTTAGCATTTTCAGGTCATTGTATATTGTGAAGTTTGTCACGTAATCATAATGCAAATAATCGGAAATAATGAAACAAATGAAAAATCTGCGCTGCGTAATAAATGTAAGTTTATTGAAGTAATTTGTATTATTCGAGTTATTCGAGATTACTATATACCTTTGAGGTTATTACTAAAATGGAAAATATTTTGTAGGTAAGACAGATACTACAGTTGCTCAAAGAATGAAACTGTATCGCCAGCCAAATAGTCAAAACAAATAAGCAGTCAATAAACGTATGTTAATTTCAATTACATGAATTTCTACAAACACAATTACATGATAAGTGAAATTGTAAAAACAATATTTCTTTATTGAAAATTTAAAAAAACTTTACATGTTTCTCTTTTATGATGGCTATGAAGACTAATTTTAATTTATTATAATAGTAATTATAAATATTGATGCAGGTTCAAAGCCTCTTACAAACTCTGATCAAGATTACATCGTCAAACAAAACAACTGTAGGAAAATAATAATCGGTTACAGCCAATTTATTAGAAAATCTTGAGCCAGGTATCAATTTAGATGTATATGTCAACACCATTGACATAAGTAAGAATCTTTTTTTGCTATTTGACTCCTGAAAAACTCTACACCTATTCACATTTGAACATATTATTCTGTTATCTTTTTAAATAAAAGTACTGCTGTAACTGTTTCTGATACATTAACTACCTACATCACGCCAATTGCAAATTAATGATACTGCATATAATGTAACTAATAATGTGACAAGAACTGCACTTTTGAATCTTTTGCAAAAGTCGAAGTATTTGAACTCCATATAAAGACTTCAATTTGTTTAGGAATGCACGAAAATTGTTTGAAAAAACTGTGATAGACTTTGGTTTCAAAGTGACTTAAAAATATTAAATGAATCTCAAAAACAAGCTGTTAGCTACCGTGTTCTCGAACGGACTCTATTACCGGTCAGCGATTCTATTGCTTTGAGTACTTTCAGGGCCCGTCTTGAAACACGGACCAAGAAGCCTAGCATGTGCGCGAGTCATTAAGAAATACAAAACCTAAAGGCGCAATGAACGTAAACGTTTGCTTAAGTAAACTGAGGGATGACGGACCGCATCTACGGATGCGTGCTTGCAATCCCGAGGTGTCTCACTCTCATTGCGAGAAGAGACGCACTCAGAGCGTACACGCTAGGACCCTAAAGATGGTGAACTATGCCCGGTCAGGTCGAAGTCAGGGAAAACACTGATGGAGGACCATAGCGATTCTGACGTGCAAATCGATCGTCGGAACTGGGTATAGGGGCGAAAGACTAATCGAACAATCTAGTAGCTGGTTCCCTCCAAAGTTTTCCTCAGGATAGCTGGCATTCGATGAGCGAGTCTCAACCTATTTTCAAACTTTAAATGCGTGAGATCTCTGGCTTGCTTGAATAGTGAATAGTGGGCCACTTTTGGTAAGCAGAACTGGCGCTGTGGGATGAATCAAACGCCGAGTTAAGGCGCCTAAACGACGCTAATGGGATACGATGAAAGGCGTTGGTTGCTTAAGACAGCAGGACGGTGGCCATGGAAATTGGAATCCGCTAAGGAGTGTGTAACAACTCATATGCCGAAGCAACTAGCCCTGAAAATGGATGGCGCTGAAGCGTCGTGCCTATACTCGGCCGCCAGGGCATGAGAAACGTTCATAATAGTTCGTTTTGACGCCCTGGTGAGTAGGAGGGTCGCGGTGGTGTGCGCAGAAGAGTTTGGGCGTAAGCCTGCCTGGAGCCACCATCGGTGCAGATCTTGGTGGCAGTAGCAAATACTCCAGCGAGGCCCTGGAAGACTGACGTGGAGAAGGGTTTCGGAATCCGACTGTCTAATTAAAACAAAGCATTGCGATGGCCCTAGCGGGTGTTGACGCAATGTGATTTCTGCCCAGTGCTCTGAATGTCAACGTGAAGAAATTCAAGCAAGCGCGGGTAAACGGCGGGAGTAATTATGACTCTCTTAAGTAGATGCACACAGTATATAGAGCACACATATAAGAACAGCTGGACGAGACTCCGTTGAGATAACTGGCACTCGGATCCCATTAGTCCGAGGAGCGGGGTTAAACAAGGAGATCCTTTATCGCCAGTCCTGTTTAATCTAATTATGAATAGGCTCATTGAAAGCTCCCCTCCTGAGATCGGGGTTGTGATAGAGGGAAAATTACTAAACATCATGGCGTTCGCTGACGACCTGGTATTTGCCGAGTCGTCACAAAAAGGCCTTCAGACAATGCTAGACCACGCCAATGATTTTCTCTCAAAATGCGGCCTTATCATCAACACCGCCAAATCTTTTACAATAGCTATCAGGAATGTGCCACATGTCAAAAAGTCATGCGTTGATAATAACATAAAATTCAGTTGCGGTGGAAGTTTGGTGTTATCTCGGAGTATCTTTCACTCCAGAGGGCGCCAAAATGTGCGACCTATGGCAAAAATTGCAGGACATCATAGAGAAGCTTTCCAAAGCTCCCTTAAAACCGCAGCAACGACTGTTCGCATTAAGAACAGTCGGTATTCCAAAACTGTTACACCAGCTGACGTTAGGGAACACAACACTTGGCCTTTTTTAAAGCCTTGACACTATAATTAGAAAAGCCGTAAGATCATGGCTAAGGTTACCGACTGACACGACCAACGCTTATTTCTATGCCAAAGATAGAGATGGGGGCTTATCCCTCCCATCTCTAAGATGGTTGGTACGTTTAAGAAGAAAGGGAAGGCTTATGAACCTGGGATGGCCAGACTCAAGTTTCCATCAGCTTGAGGTTGAGAATTGTGAGAAACGCTTGTCTGACAACGGGAACATTAATGGTTCCGCTAAACAGCTAGATGACAGATGGGCTAAGTTCCTCCATTATCCATTGGACGGGCGGGCGCTCTCGAAGTCATCCAAAGTCCCCCAGCAACACCGGTGGGTTACCGATGGCACAAAAATCCTATCAGGCCGGGACTTCATTAACGCTCGTCTTAGAATTAATTCTATGCCTTGCAGAAGCCGAACCACGAGAGGTCGCCGAGAAGATAGGTTTTGTAGAGCAGGATGCAACGCTCTAGAGACTCTAGATCACATATTACAAAAGTGCCATCGAAGTCATAGACAAATAATTGAGAGGCACAATGCAGTCACCAAATACGCCAAAAGAGCTCTCGAGAAAAGACACTCTCGTGTCGAATGGGAGCCACTGTTCCAAACACCAGAGGGAATACGTAAACCTGATCTTATAGCGATGCTAGGAAAATCTGCTATTGTGATTAACACACAAATCGTTGGGAGCAACGTAGACATGGATTTAGCTCATAAACGCAAGATAGAGCATTATAAGAGTTTGGACGCCCAGATAAAGGAGAAGTACAACGCATCTGAAGTGATATATAGTACTGTTACCTTAAATAACAGAGGAGTGTGGCACATGGACTCTGCAAACTTTCTGCTGTCACACAAAAAGGCAATAGCCAAATGCCTCGTCATCTAACTAGTGACGCGCA